ACCACGCGCAATAAAGGCGTGTATAGGCGGTTTTTCGGTGCGCCACGAATGCCGAAGTAGAGTTTAGGCGATTGCCCGCCTTATCGTAGGCGTCGGACCGGGGTCCCATCCCACCACGCGCAATAAAGGCATGTATAGGCGGTTTTTCGGTCCGCCGCATACAACGAAGGGACAATCTGAGTTTGGAAAATGTATACCTTCGCGGGGTTGTAGATGTTGGCATGTGGATTGAGGGAAGAGCAAATAATCATAATTAATTATAATTAATAATTAATTATAATTTATAATGATTTAATTTTAATTAATTGTAATTAATTATAGGTAATTAATTTAAAAATTAATTATATAAAAAATTAACTATAATAATTACTTCATATCATAATTACTCATATCTAAATAATTTAATTATAATTAATAATTAATTACTACTAATTAATTATGATTAATTGATTGTAATTATAATTAATTATAATTAATAATTATAACTAATCAATATTTAATTATAATTAATAATTAATTACAAATAACTATTAATTATAAATATAAAACATGATTAATTATAATTAGTGAATCCTAATTATAATTAATAATGTTTAATAATAAAAAGAAATAAAAGCTCTCTCCCTCCTCTGGTTCGTCCCATTGACGGGATTTGGCCAAGGAAGCGCGCGAATGGGAGAATTTTACCTTCATAGCAACCGAGCTCTCGGTTGCTTCCGATCAAAATGTCGTTCCTCCTAATCCGATAGAAAGGAGGCGGATAGAAGAGGCGTGGGAAGGAATCGGGCAAGAGAGGGACGGTCGGCAGCAGGGATTCGGTTCCAGGGATGCCGGTCGGTTTCTTCCTTCCCTCTCTCTTTCTCTCTGGATCTCACTCTCTCGGTTTGGGCTGAAGGAGGTGTAGGGGTCGGATTTTTTGATCGAAGGAGGGTCGGAGGCTCTAGTGACGGGCTTGGAGAGCAGAGAAGATCGGGAGAGGAGAAGAGCTCGGCAGTGGAGATCGAGCACGGGAAGACCAGCGAATGTTGTTCGCTCGGTTGGCTTTTAAAGGCGTAAAAAATCAGCAATCTAGGCTATCGTTGCGGGATTCGGGGGAAGCGATGCGAACTGTGCCGAATCGGCACCATTTCGGCAAGATTTTGAGGATCCAACAGGTATGCGGTATGTATGCGGGATTTCTATTTTTCTTTCTTCTCCTTTTGGTCCCTTTGGGTATGACATGAGGGTCAACACCATCGTAGGGCCGACCAGAGTATTTGTTTTATACGTTCATATTAAGTTTTCAATGTCTATTACAAGAAATATTCATTAATAAATGCCTGAAGCTGACGAAGGACCCGATCCTCTATCAAAAGATAGAGAGAGTCGACAAGGTTCGATTAATAAAGCAAAATTACCCAAAATCCCAATTATGGCCATGTTGATAGAAAATGATAATCAGAGGGGACCCCAAACATTCAAAATTCCTCCAAATTTCCATAAAATATATTCAATTGACTTTAACTTATTCATGAACGATATTAATGTTTAAAATTGAAATAAAACGACAAAATACTTAAAGAAAAATGCCAATCAATACTTTGCAACAGTTTGTCAAGATGGACAAGCTTGACAATCACTTCAGCTAACAAAGAGCGAATGTTTAGTTGAGAATATCACTAGGATTTATTTTTAAATCATCTCTTACCAGTAAGGACATGACACGTGTCTTCTAACCGGTGGTTTTGCTGTCAAATGACACTGCGGGTAAACGGTTATGACTGGGACCATCTAACTAGGTGATATTGTCGCTAAATGACACTATTAAATTACGGCCATGATTAAATCCCAGTATGTTCCCCAATGACTATAAATCATCTTGTAATGAATCAATAGGTTATGACTGAGAGGGAACAAAGCCCTCTATTAGTTAAGGTGGATTCAAATTTGTCCACTTAAACAAACATTCACTTCAAGTCTACAAGGTACTCTTGAAAGAAACAACCCATGGCTATCGATAAGGATTCTTCGGTTAGTTTGGGTTGACTAACTCCTCTGACTAAGTGGACTAGGGACTATGATAGCTTGGGGTGATGGAATCATGAAATCTTGATTGTGTTCATCATCATTTCCCTCACCATCCGCTTTAAGTGCATTGTGATATAAATTTCAATTTTTAAATGTCAAATCTTGGTGCTACTATATGTTGGATACTATGTATCTATTCGACGACTAGCTTTAACCGAAAGTTCTCTCTCGTTATCGCGATGGGTAATTAGCTATAGAGGCTTGCACCTATAGGAAACCTGAACTCAGATTATAAAGTCCTCACAAAATGAGGGAGAAATCTCTAGTTAATTCCTTATTCAAAACGCAATCCGACTTCTGAAAATTTACTTTGGAACTTACTCGTTAAAACTCTTCTCGGCAACCTGAACACGAAAAAGAAAAGGGGGCGCGGAGAGGTCAGGGAGCGAATTTTCGAAGCCCACAATATTCTTATAACATTCTTGGCCATGCAACTATTTATTTTATTAATTTGTGGGATCAATAAATTTCATTTTGTTTGTCTCCGATGACATTTATAATATTTTGTATGTAGTTATGTTTCTTAAATTTTATTAGTTCGTTGGAGATTTGTGACTCATGAAAGTTGGGTTTGTGCAATATGCATTGAGTTGTCCCGGTTTTGAGTTTCAGGGGTTAAAAGAATTCTCGAGTCCCTTAGAGAAAATTAGTTTCTTGAGGTTCCTGTTACGTTTTAAATTTTGATTAGTTTGCAAAGTTGTATGAGAATCTTTTTCTTTGCGAAGTAAAAAGTTTAATCTTGGAACAATTCATTATGCTTTGAAAAGTTGAATCAATTAAGATTATGAGAATATGATTTATTTTAGTGATCTTAGCACCCACACCCTAAATGAAAATAATTTTTTTTTTGTTTTTATCGATGTATTAGTAAAACCTAAGTTAGAGAGATTTTGAAGAAAATGAAATGTGGAAAAGCTATTAGACCTTATGATATTCCAATAGAGGTGTGAAAATGCTTAGGAGATGAAGGAATTTCTTGGCTTACAAAACTTTTCTATATTATTTTGAAAACTAAAAGATGCGTGGAGAATGAGTTTATTGATTCCTATTTTTAAGAATGAAGGTGATGCATAAGAGTATGCGGATTATAGAGGGATTAAGTTAATGTGTCATACTTTATAACTTTGGAAGGAGTTATTGAGCATAAGTTACGATGTGATATTAATGTTTCTCAAAATTAATTTGAATTCATGTCGGGTAGGTCTATTGTGGAAGCTATACATTTATTAAGAGTTTTGATGGAGAAGTTTAGGGAGAATAAAGAGGATATATATATGATATTTATTGATTTAGAGAAAGTTTATGATAAAGTTCCAAGAGAAGTGCTATGGAGAGTTTTAGAAAAGAAAGGGTTAATAATGCTTATACTCAAGTCATTAAGGATATGTATGCATAAGCTATTACATGTGTTCAAACACAATGAGGTTGGACCAAGCATTTTCCTATTTCAGTTGGATTACATTAAGGATCAGCTTTAAGTCCATATATTTTTGCTTTAGTATGGATGTTTTTACTATGCATTTGTAGGAGGATCTCTCATGGTGTATGCTTTTTGCTAATGATATTCTTCTTACTAATAAGACTAGAGTGGGAGTTGAAGTTAAACTTGAATTATGAAGGTCAACCTTAGAGTCGAAAGGTTTTTGTTTGAGTATATCTAAAACCGAATACATAGAGTGTAATTTTAGTAGTGATAGATCTAATGGGGGGAGGGGGTGTGGATTGTGACTTTAGGCTATCAAGTCATTAATATCAGTTCACATTTTAGATATCTCAGGTTTATTCTCCAGAGTGATGGTGAAATATATGGGGATATTATTAGTAGAATTCAAGTTGGATGGTTAAATTGGAGGATTGCATCGGGTCTATTGTATGATAGAAAAATACCTCTCAAACTTATGTGAAAATTCTATAGATGGTAGGGAGACCTGCAATGTTTTATGGCACAGAGTGGTGGTCATTAAAAGAGAAGCATATAATTAAGTTAAGTGTTGCAGAGATGTAGATGCTCATGTGGATGAGTGGCTTTATTCGTAGAGATAGAATGTGAAACGAGCATATACGTGAAAGGTTGGAGTAGCTCCAGTGGCAGATAAGATTAGAACTCTCCTTGGATGGTTTGGTCACATAAAACTTTAGCCTTTTAATGACCCAGTTAGGAGAGTAGATGTATTAGATTTGGCTTAGGTTTAAGAGAAGTAGAGGTAGACCTAAAAAGATTTGGTTAGAAAATATTAAAATGACCTTTTTTTATTAGATTTAAATGAGAATTTGACTCTTGACAAGACAATGGAGAAAAAAGGCCGTACATAGTGGGATAAAAGCTTGATGTTGTTGTTGTTTTTGTATGCAACTTTTCCAACTCATAACTTTTATTTTTTACAATTATTTATCTGGTTAGTTTTTGTCTCTCATTCTACAGTTCTAAGTTTCACTACTTTCAATCTCCCCAGCTGACAGTTGGTCGAGGATTCATGCTTTAGCGAGGTTATATTGAGACTATGACTCATATGAGCACGCTCCCAAGAGATGATCACTTGAAAAAGGAAATATATGATTTCATTAGAAATATGAAAAAGATATTAAATCTGATGTTTAACATTTGTCTTGGAGTTTTGTGAAAATCGTGATGAGAGATTTTTGGGGGAAGTAATCAGCAAAACTAATGAGCGTGAGCGAGAAGATTTGTAGTAGAAGTGATGATATGAAATTAGTGGAAGCCTTTAAATCTCGTAGTTCAACTACTCCCAGGATTTCACAACATAGCTGTAAGATTTGCAAAAAATTATTTGGTATGATTTAACCTATATCTTGACAAAATCTCTATTAAATCTTGCAACCAAACCTATAGAAATGCTTTTTGATTATTGAATAAAACTCTAATTAATTCTCTTCTTCATATCCTCACCGTTGTCTTTCATGATCTAATTCAGGAGACAAGTCCCACCACCTGCAAAGCCTGCAACAAGATCTTTAGGTCGTCTAACAAGTGCTGTCAGAAGAGGTAAGGTTCATTTTATCTTCTCTCCAATGGCTGCATTACCTCCATTTTATCTTTGGGTTATTTGTATCCAACAGCAGTTGAATGTCCAGGGGTTGATGCCAATGGAAATTCTAATGATCTGTCGGCAAAACTACTCCATCTAGCATGGCATCCATCGGAGAATTCAATCGCTTGTGCTGCTGCAAATAGTCTGTACATGTATTATGCAAATTGATGGACCTTTGTGATACATTTTGGATAGACTTTTTTTTTTTTTTTTTTTTGTGTGAAAGCTCTTTTACTGCTCAGAAAAAAAAAATCAACAGGGTAATCAAAATTACATTTTCGCACTAATTCCATATAGGGATCAGAGAAGGAAAAGTTATTACGTCCGGACAAAAAACCGAAAATCCGGACGAATACCGAGTACTGTACCGAGCACTGTACCGAGCGCCCAAGTGACATGGCACTTTGTTATTGATCTCTGGACGCATTCAACGGCTGCCAAAATCCAAGCGGAAGTCAAACTTCTCTTGTTCCCCGGAGGGCAGCTTGTTTCTGATTATTATTTTATCATTACCCTTTTGTAGGGGAGGCCAAGAAAGAAAATAACTATAAAATTTAGTTGTATTTCTTCTTTTAGGTCGCAATATGTGGTTGTAGCTCTTCAACAAAATACAGAAAGGCTAAAATCAGGAATGTCTCTGGGGGTTGAAGGGGGTCATCTGATACTGGGGGGATTGTATGGAAAATAAATTGTTAGGTGTTCATCTTGGAGGTTTGTGTAATTATATTCATTTTTTTTTTCTTTTAATTTTTTTATCTCTACAAAGTTAACTACCCTTCTAAGCAAATTGCTTACATCTTGCTTTTTGCCTGCTTATTGGGTATGTTTTATGATGCTGCTTGTTTTGCCTTATCTTGGAAGAATATTTCGTCCTTGCTAGAGTTCATTTGTTTCTATTTTTAGAATTAATTTTTCAGTTTTTGGCTAGCTTAATGTTGCTATGTTTGGAATTTGTTGACATGGCCTAGATTTTGTCCTTGCAATTAAGGTTTTATTTGAGACGGTTTTTTTATTATTTTTTAAAAATATTTTTTAGTTAAAAATATTTTAAATTAAAATTTTTATACTAAAAAGTTATTTAGAAAGCAGTAAGAAAATCATTGGTAATAGAAAATTCAGAACATCCCACCTGAATAATTTCAAGGTCATACAATATATTTGGTGAAATTTTAAATATGAGCAGGCTTTAAGCCGAAATAAGTAGAAGGAACGAACGCTATGTAAAGTTAATACAAGGAGCAAAAATGTCAACGGTTTGGCGTTTTCTTTAAAAAAATGTATGTATAAAATGCGAAAAGAATATTAAATGTGTGTTTTCTTTTGAAAACACTTCCAATTTATGTTTTTGATAGAAAAACCTACTTTGAGTTTTTATCTTTCGTTTTTAAATTATAATTTGTAAATGCATATGTTGAAAATAATTTAGAATCTTTTTTGTCAAACATGATTAGATCTAAGAGATTTAATAATTATAAGAAATGTTTGTTAGAATTTGGTTAAAAGTAATATTTGATTAAATTAATGATGATTATTATTTTTTTTATTAAAAAAAATTAATGTTGCTTAATAACTACTTTTTAAAAAATATTTTGCGTGTTAATTTTTGTTTAATTAAAATATGTAATTAAGAATCAATGAATTAAAAATAAAATTAAGGAAGCGCTAAATTTATTAAAGTGAAATTTTATTCTATGAAATTTAATTTTTATTTTATTTATTACATAAAATTTTTAAATAATAAAAAAATGAAAGCTTTAATTGATGGAGGGTTGGATATTATTCCCTTATAAGAGAAGTTCAATGAAGATTTAAGTGGATAAATAAGTTTTTTTTTTTTTTTTTTTGGGGTTTTTTTTTTTTTTTTGGGATATTATGTCTTGTTTGTCTTAAATAATAATTTTTTTTATTGAAAGCAACAATATCGGATTTCCCTTGAACCTTTTTATGTATGGTGAGGTATTGTTTTAAGAATGTGAAAAAGGGATTCTTTAACCTTCTATAAGAACTTACAACAACAAGTCAAAAGGAAAATAGGTGGGACATTGTTCAATCTTAGGTTAGAAATGTTGGTGCCTTCTAATGATGCATATTAATGTTGTATGAATGTTTGGACATTGGATTGTGATCAATAGTTGATAAGATTATATGCAAAGATAATGTGGCACATGTGATCTCGTAGGGGCTAAGTAGGGAAAATATTGTTTATCATATTGTATGTTATAATTCTACTTTTTTATTTTTTTCATGTAATTGAAGATATTTTTTATTCGGTTATTGAGATTTTCTTATTCTTAATTTCACTGTCTAATACACTATTGCTGATGAAATAATTTCCTTATAACTCTATTGCACTATGTGATGAAAGCAAGACAAAAAAAAATTAAACCACATTATATTGAAGTCAAAGGAAAAATTAGATGAGAAGATTTGAATTCTTATAGTAGTATAAAAAATAAGCTCTCATATGACATTCAATGGCATCATTCCCAAGGATGTACCTAGTAGGTGCTTGACATGGTCTCATGTCTAGTTGGTGCTCCTCCTTACCTCTTCCTCCTCTTCTTGTGCACCCATTGCATTCGACTGAGTTTGTTGGAAGAGAAAAACTTGTTGAATAAGGGATGGCGAGCCTATTGGTGACATTCATGTAGGAATTTTCATTCCATAAGATGGTTATGCTTATGCCATTTGTAATTGAGTATCAAGATGATATCCATCAATGGTTCCTCATTGTAGATTGAAAACACTAAATCCTTGTATAACTACTCCTACACCTAACATGCCTTCCCTCACATCATTGAGGGTCCTCCTTTCATAATTGTGGATGGCCCTATATAATTATTCAATCCTATTTGCATTACATGTTTCAAGAATAATATGTCAGAGCATCTGAGCATTTGGGCAGTGGATCTCCTTGGAGCATCTTACTTTGATCTTCATGGAAGAAATGAAGTATATCTTGATGGAGCATCCGATGTCAATCTTCTTGAAGCCTAATTTTACTCATGAACTCTACAATTCTATTGTGCATACAAGTTAAATTTATCAAGGATATCAAAAGCATTGCAATCAATATATATTAAGTGTTTTACTCTACATGATAAGTCCACAAATCTCATCATGCTGCATTGAACTTGTGTTTTCGTGTGACCACCAATAAATATCTCATCGATACTTTTGGTTTATATAAATTAATCTTGGTACTTGTTGATAGAGAAAAAATGATCAATTTTATAATACAATAATTTGTATGTCAAATTGAAACTAGAAGTTTGAATATCATACCACAAGCCTTTTCCCAGTCAATCTATGATAAACTATTTGGAGGTTTGGTTGGGGCTTTTAATAAATACAATGATGCCCATGATTTGTATCACCTCAAATAAGCCGCCAACTCTCCCTTTCCTATTACCTTGTAGTGGAAGTACTAGTGTTAAAAATGTGCATCAATTATTCCATCGCTCAATGTAGGTTTGGTGGTAATGCAACTAATCGATGTTCTCTCTATGACACTATTTGCACAACAGAATGTTTGTTCTATGGGCTCAATAGGGCATGATTGAACACCTCTAAACCATTGCATTACCCTATCTAGAAGATGTCACTTAGCATGCTTCATGCTAATAAGTGGGACATAGGCTATCCAAATATCAATCCTTTCCTTAGATATTAGAGGCATCCAATCAATTATTGTATCATTATAAGGTGGATTACTTTAAAAAATACTTAGAATAAAGCAATTTCACAAACTAACTAAGGTCATAATTAAATAGTTGGGTTACTCTTCACCTTCTTGACTTTGTTGAAATCCATCAAGCTCATTTTTATAGGTTATAATGTTGCCAGTTGGAACCTTTAAGATCTTTTCCTTGGCCCACTTGTATTATAAACAACATTAGTTAATAAATGATGCTTATGTTGTACCAGATCACCCAAAAAAAAAAAGATAAAACTTATCTAAAACATAGTTATTTTCTAACAATGCTCGGGGTAAAGGCACGCATAGCATTGGTTGACTAACATGCAATCACTTCCTTGACTAAGCTTGTAGTAGTTACAGATATCCAACTATGTACACGTGTCGGCTTCATTGATAAATTTAACTCTTTATATATGTGTACCGGCATGGACCTTCGATGGAGTACATAGTAAATATCTCTAAGTGTTCAAGTAAAGGTAAGTAGTGTAAATGAATATTTGAGTAAACAAATCTGAGAGAAAAAATAACCTAGCATATACAAAATATAAGCTTTAATATGTCCTTAAAATATGAAGAGGAAAAACATCATATGACTTGTAAATGTCTATCTCACAAGCGAAGTAGTAGTATTAAATGAGTGCCTGAGAATGATCCCCTTTGAAGCTCACTTCAACTTCATCCTTATTTGGGTGATGATATTTGACATCAAGCTCAGGGTGGGTATCTAGTATCTCATCATAACATTTTGGTCAAGTAGAAGAGTGTAAGTTAGCTCCAATCACTAAAGGTCTGACAAAGGTCTTGCCATCAACCCTAACACCTAGGATAAGTTACACATCATGGAGTGGAATAGTCATCTCACTGATAGGTAGGTATATGTTTTTTGTTAATAGGTGCCACCCCTTGACCAATGTTATTATAAACTGATAATATAACCTTATGAATTGTGAATGAGATTATCATATTTCATTTTTCATCTATATGAGATTTGGTTCACCAATGTCACACAAAAATATGAGTATACAATCTACATGCTCTCGAGTTTGCTTTGCTCTTTGCAAAAATCTGAGAGAAAGGTATTTTCCATTTGCATGATTCTACGGTTGATGTATAAAGGAATTGAATACAAGATTCCTTTGTTTGACTTCTTCATCAAATATTTTTCATGAATTTTTTGTCAATAAGTATAGAACAGTTTTGTTGTGAAGTTTTTTTTTGTTGATCACTAAATTAGATATAATGTTCACCAATTCATTTCTCTTTAATGTAATGAGAGGGAATTCTATTGTTTACATAAAATACATTGTTGCTATTAGAGTACAAGTGTATGTTGTAAAGGAGATTATGATTAATTTATTAATTTAGAATTCTTTAATTTTGAAATTGTGCATTAAAATACACCTAGATTTTTTGTTCTTTGATCTATGTTTTTTTATAAGCAATTCATTATATATATATATATATCAATATGATTAATATTTTATATGAGCATTTTATTTCATAACTTAATTTTAATTTTTAGCATTCTTTTTGAAAGACAATGATATGTTTCCCAACTTTTTTCAATTGTTCATTGAAGGAATGTTATGACTGATTGTATTTTTATACCTTCAATGTATTATTTATTCAATTCAAAGCTTATGTCAATCATAAGATGAAGTGGACTCTTATAGAATTCTTGAACTATATATTCATTATTTTCATCCTAATATGATTAAATAATATCATGTGAAAATACTTTTAAAAATTTGTAGGGATATATACTTGTGCATCAAGAATGTTTATAATAAATGCTTACAAGTAAAGGTTATATGCTTGGTTTCATATCATAATAAGGAGAGGAAAAATTTGAAGTGGTTATCTATATTCATATAAGATTGATTCATCTGTAAATGCATACTCAAGCTTTTCCATTGATTGATTTTGACAAAATTCTCATATACATTCATGCTTCAATTATCTCATGAGTTGTGATTATTAATTGATTTTATATGAGTATGTGTGCTTTAACATTCAAATGAATAGTAGTTAAGATACAAACTTGATGTGTATGCTACATTTCCAAATTATATGTAAATTTGGCCCTAGTGAATAATTATTATAATGAAAAGTTTACATTTATGCTTAGGTATTTGATAGTTTTAATGCATCCAATAGAAATGTATTATGGGTTGGTTAGAAAGTGT